TGTTCCAAAACCAAACTGACACATGCTGAAAATGGCAGGGGAAAAAATAATTATGTTCCTTGCCTTTTAATTATTTTTGTATATGTGTTTTTATTATTATTTTTTAGATGTGTTCCATACAGGAAATGCATCCTAAACTGCTAGAGTTCACAGATCAAACCTGGCATACTAATTTATATTAAATTAGTTCAGATTTGCATCAAAGACAGAATTTAGGATTTTGTTGTCAACATCTGTGTTAGAATGCAATGCACATCCTTCAGCAGTGTAAAATGAAATGAAATAAGGGAGAGGTTTGGAAACCTCAGTCTCGAGAAAATGCTTGAAAATGCAGAGAGCCAGTCTCCCTCTGAAGTCAAATGGTCACCTGTTCAGTATTTCTCTGCAAGTTTGTGTATCACAGTGCTTCTAATTTCAGAAAATACAACCTATGCTACTACTCATCATTCTTTCAACCTCGAGTGAAACTGGTTTTAATATCTAGGAAAGAACTACAATTGTGAAATCGCCTAAGCAGTTGTGGGTCTGAAGTCTTTGCTATATTTCACTGGTAAAGAAATAATTCATACGTACATAAATTAGTATATAAAAATGTGTGTGTATACATAAGCACACATAAAAACGTAATATTTAGAAACCTAAAGCAATATGTTAATATGCTGGACAATAGAGCAAACTAAATGTATGTCTCTGAATTGTGATTACAGCGTGATCACTGAGATTGTTGAGGAAGACATTCAATTAAAAACAAACAAACAAAAAAAGCCCTTGAATTCCAAGAGGTCATTTCTATTCATGCTGCTGACTTAAACTTAATTCTTTGTTTGTACTGAAAGTAGCCCATATCTCCAATACAGATTGCAAAACAAATTTGCTGTCTTATGGAGGAAAAATTGTAATGAGCACAAGAGAAGATGTGGTGTGCAGTGAAGTTCTGAGAAGAATGGGCTCCACTGTAGGAAATTGATAGGCGTGAACTTATGTTGATTTGGCCATTTGTGATACACTCAGAGCAATTAGATTAGAAAATATTTACTATGGAAAGAAGGGTCAATGATTATCAAAAATGAAAACAAATAATGAAACTATTGGAAGATAGCCAAAATTTAGCAAATAAATATTCTCCAATATTCTGTTTGATAAAGTAATTGACAAAGGGGTTTCAGGAAATTGTAGTCATGCTCTGTATCAAAGGATTTGTAAATAAGAATGTAAGAAAGAATGATTTCTTAATTCACAGAATAAGACATAATTTGCAGTGATACGTATGGAAAGTACACAACACGTTGTGGTGTAGTTCGTGTAGAATAACAAATGGTGCAGATTAGATTTGACACAGCTTGAATGTGTGTACAGTTTTTATGAATTGCAAATTCCAAGTCTGAGTTTCCAAGCAACCCTGAAAAGTCATATTAAGGAATCTGTTTCAAAAGTAATGTGAGAAAAAATCTGGTATATCTTTGAACTTGGAATTTTCAAGTATGCTGAAGATGATGCAGGAAATCACAGTATTATCAAGTAAGCAGGTGGTACATTTCCCGGTCAGTCAGCACTGCAGTGATGACCTAATATGTTGATATAGGACTGTGATCAGGAGCAGTTACTGTCTGTCTGATGAGCCAATGTCCTAAAACACATAGTGAATAAAACCTCCTTTCTATGTGCTGGTGTGTGTGCTTATATGTATGCGTAGGGGTGTGAAGCCCTGCGGTCCTGAATGAGTTCCAGTGTCGTTAATTAATTTCTTCCTCAAATAAAAATATACCTGACATTTCATCACCTACTAACCATTAAAAGAATTAGCAAGGGAAGCAGATGGAAGTAATAGCACAGAGTTTTACTTAGAAGGACATGAAAGGGATTTTATTGTTACTCTTAATTTTCTGGATGCCTTCAGTTTTGTTCCTTCTCCAGAAATCCTCCTCATCGTCCCTAGAAATCCCAGTTGGAAAAGCTTGAAATCATATCATATTTTTTGCTGTTTAAGTAATAGGTAGCATATCTGGAAAACACAGTTTACTTTTGAAGTACTCTTTGCAGCCAAAGTAAAAAGAAACAAAATCTGAAAGTCATACCAGTTACCATTGAGAAGTACTAACAAATAGAAAGAAAAAGCTATGAAGAAAAAATATAGATTTAGCATCATTTTAAGAAACAAATAATAATAAAAAGTCATGTAAATGTATGCACAGTTTGATGAGTGTATGAGTTGAAAGCAAAATCAACTTTTCATTTTTCATTTTTCCATGTCGTATTTGATAAGCATTTTGCCTTCAGAGCAGAACAACTAAAGGAAGCCTACTGCAGCATTAACGCTTTCTTTGTGGATGCTTTACTGCAATCTGGCATCCAAAAGGAGGAAACATTAGAAGTGGTTTATTTATATTTCAGCACCAAATTAGAAAGATGACATCATTCATTTACAGTTCTTATCCCATGACACATCTAATCCCCAACACCTCATTACAAGGGACACTTTTAGGATTGCATATATCATCTTGTTTAACTTTTGCATTCTTTTATGGGATACAGTTGAAAGGTAGGAAATTTAGGGCTGTTCATTGATAAGAAAGTAAACTGATAAAATCTCAGAAGCTTCCCCAAAGAGGCAGAATATTACAGTGTTTACAGTAAGTGGGTTACTATTTATTAATTCTCTGTCTTTTCCACTATTGTTCAAAAGGACTTCCTCTTTAAATAGTAAGTCAAACAAGTTAATGGTGTTTCAGGTTGAGTTGGCCTTGTGGCAAAATCAGCAAATTCTCGACTAAAATTCTACAGGTCAGTGCTTTTGTCTTCTTAATTAGGATGGAAAAAATGGAATTATCCCAGCTGTGCAGAAAATTGTGTTTAAAAGTGTGAAATGATACCCCACAGAGTCTGTGCAATTCCTGTTCAAAGGAATCCACCTCTTGACTTATGGATGAAATCTATATTGTCAGAGGCAGGGAAGATGCCCACAGAAAAGGAGCTGCAGTGATGGTTAGAAAGCAACAAACACTGGTTTAAGCATATCCATATCCAAACTGTCAGTGTTCCTCTGGCTTGTTACTGTGTCTGCAGTAACATGAACTGAATGCTACTGCCCTCCTGAAATCTGTTTTTTACTGTTCCCCAATGGTCATCATGTGCATGTAATGAGAAGCATTACAATATTTCAAAACAAAATTAGTTGCAAAGAAGACATTTTAGGATTTTGTGTGATCCCAGTGGTTCATGGTTTTCCTCTAATTACATCTTTTTTGTAGTGCAAATATTTTGTAGTAAGAATATTTGGTTTTCTCTTCTTGCTTTTTTATTTTTCCCTTTTGTTTGTTTGTTTTGTTTGTTTTTCAAAATCTCTTTTCTACTTCAGCAAAACTAATTGAATTCAAGGAACTTAATTGAAATCTCAGTTTTTACATTTTCTATTAAAGTATATTTACCAGTGAAGTTTTCCTAGCAGAAATTTTGGTATAGGATTGTTCTCACAGGAGAATGTATTTACCTGAATTCTTGAAGACTAGTTACAAAATATTAGATATAAGCTGCTAGTTATCTCATGGACATTACCAGTTGGAATCCAATTAGGCCTGTTAGCCTAGGAATATACACAAATTAATGAGTGGTGTTTAAAATCACCTGTTAAATTTGGGAATGATCAGTTTGAGCAAAATCTTGGGGTAATGTGCTTTTCAGTGTTCCTCTGTATGTGTCCTGCCACCTTGGGGCACAAGTGGAACTGTGAATTTTTGCAATTGACTTCATACTCCTAAATTTAATGTCAACAGAAAAGTGTCTATTTCCAGTGTATTTCCAATTGTTTGTGCATGACCCACTCAAGTGGTTTCCATGTAGAGAATTGGCACAAAGTAAATAATGCTCTTTCAAGTGCATCTATTCCCAAACAAAATAATTATATCAGGGTTCAGATGAGGGTTTTTTTTTTTTTTTTTAATATGATATTGAATGTGTTTAGACTTCAATCTTTCCTTCAGCCATCTACATAGTACTAATTGTGTATACCTTGAATAGAATCTTCAGATTTTGACAGAGGTCCCTGAAAGCTCATGGCATTTTCTCCAGGGATTTATCAGTGCAGAAGTAAAACTTGATTAATGGTTAACAAGTTTTCCAGAGAAAAACTTGTTTCCAGCCTTCAGTCCTTCTAACAGAAAAAATAAGTGCTGTATACACTGATATTGGGCAATTAGGTAGAAAGATATTTTTGGTGCCATGAGCAAGGTTTGTGTTATTCTAGTCTATGTATGTTATGGTGTATAACAACTGTAATAATGATAAAGAGCAAGGATGTATCTTGTTATCACATGGTGACATGAGATTTTATAATCTGTATGAAGCAATAACTGAAGCATAGATGCTGTTTTCAAGACCTTTATCTAAGACTTACTTTCATTCTGTGATATGCGAAGTCCCATAATCACTATTTCCTCTAAGCAACTGTGTCTGTATCAACTAGACTTCAGATTCTTTTACCTTACTATTTAGCAGTGTGATCCTTGTTTACAAAAAAAAAAGAAAAAGAAAAATTAAGCTAAAATTTATTTTTAGCATAGTTGTTCACAATTATGTTGACTTGCCTTGATAGATAATTGTAAATACTTAAAGCATGCTTAATATTCCTGTTTGTGAGATTTTGGAAGTTAATTATTGAAACATAGTAATAAACTGGAAAATAGGCAACTCTTCTAAAATAGTAAATTTAGAAAACTTCAATGTCATCATTGACACCTGTCGAACATACCATCCTGAATCATGTCCTTTTCTGATTTCTTTGTTATTCTGTGTGAGTGAAAACTGAGACAGTTATATTCACATGCTTTGCTATCTTTCTCTATTTGTTTCCTTTTGTTTCTGAGCCAGCAATCCTGACTTCTATTGTTAGATCCTTGCAGCTACCACCAAAAAAAAGAGTGAACAAAGAGCTAGGATCTTGCCAAACACTGCTAATTAATAAGTTCCAGCATGTATTAAATTTTTTCATTGTCCCTCTTAAACAGACACAAAATAGAATGAAACTAATGGCAGATAACTATGATGATGACCATCACCACTACCACCACCATCACCACCATCACCATCACCGATCTCCTGGGAGGCCACAACACTCCAACCACAGACCCTCTCCAGATCAGGTCAGTCCCTTCTTTTCTATGCTTCACTTCTATAATTTTACAGTTTTGATATCTCAAGGTGAAACAAATATTCCACAAATAAAACAAGCAGTATTAGTGATGTGTTCTTTGAGCAGAAACTAGTAGGTGTGGCATTTGCTTCCAACTCAGAAAGAATCTCAGTGTTATGTCTGGGATCTTATATTTCTCTATCTTTTTAAAAACATTTCACAGATACTTTTTCAGCATTTCAGAATTCGACTTTTTAATTACAAAGACCTACTTAAATTGATTTCAAAAATATGCAATTTTTGGAGTTTTTGGGAGCTTATTTAAAGTAAATGGAGAAATAATTAGTACTTTAAAACTTATACAGTATTTCCATTTGGTATCTTGTAAACCACTAGTTCTAAGCTGTTCATGAAAATATTTTTTAATTATTTAAACAATAAAGCTATAAAATGACAGGTATAGATTAAAGGGAAGAGACACATTTTTCACTAGGCACAATAAAAAAAATTCCAGAATGTTGTATTGAAAAACTGCTCACGAATCACTCTTTTACTGTTAGTGGTCTTTAAGTCCTCTGTTTCAAGACTGTCCAAATAAGATGGTCTCAAAAGATTTATTAATTGAACATGCTAGCTTTGAAATTTTTCCATATAGAAAAAATAATATTCCTAAGTCCAACACTGGTTTGATTTTGTGAATTTCAATATTTGTTTATAAATAAGCACAAATTTTGTAAATCAAAACATTTATTTTGGAAATACATAACTCATTTGATTTTGTTGATATTTTGTAATGTTAATAATTTGAATGTTAAGGGAAAAGTAAAACACATTTATTAAAACAAATTCATTAACATAGTTTTAAAATGATAATATTTATACAATATTTGTTTGGAATTAAGAGGTAACAATGTTTAGTGGTTGATTAGGATTACTGCACTGTCCTTTATAATAGTTCAGTGTTGTTCTTCAGATAATGCTGCAGTTCCTTTGATAGGAAGAAATTTGCTAAGTGTCTAATGTGCAGGCTCAGTACTTTTTGTTTGGGATATCTGAGCGAAGGAGATGCTTTGGCCAAAAATTTTGTTGTTTTGATATTTTTGAAACAGTAAATAGCAGAGCTCTTCTTTCTGGAAAGCTTTAAGACCAGATCCACCAAAAATAATGCATCTGCTTAACTTTCATATTTATATATGGAAAAGAACACTTTAGTATTATTTCAGTTATTACCTATGGTAGGATAGTTAATAGATTTAATAACATGTTGTCATTATAAAGTATTGAAAGTAATGAAATTTCTTTGTTATTTATTTATCCCAGTGCATTATTTATATTTGCTTTGCTCTGTAGGCTTTCCTAATCATCACCTGATTGGTGATTTCTGTCTTAAGTCTGAAATAAATAATTTGAAATTCAGTAAAAAAAAAATAATTTAGAAGGGAGACTTCACCTGTACTGAGGCCGTATAATGGAAAAGAAAGAAAGAATCTGTATTTCAAACAGTATGAAGCAATGATGGAATACCACTGTAATGAAGTTACATCTAATTCTGGGTAATGCTGGAGGAGAAGCAGGAAGTAATTATTCTGCTCTCTCGAGCACTGGTGAGACTTCATCTGAAAAGCTGTATACAGTTTTGAACACCATGCTTTAAGAAAGATAGACAAATTGGAAACGGACAAAAGGAGAGCAGTAAGAATGATAGGAGTTTTAGAAAACATGACCTATGAGGAAAGCTTAAAGAACTGGATTTGTTTAGTCTAGAAAGTACTAAGAGCAAGTCATAAGTCTTCTAATATATAAAATGTTGTTGTAAAGAGGACGATGATCAATTGTGTTCCAGTGCCCATTGGAGAAAGAGTAGGAGTGGCAAAGTATACCAGGAGTAACTAGGTTATTTATTAAAAACAAACAAACATGAATAAATAAAAAATAAATTAAAAAAGAAAGAAAAGAACTACAAACAAACCAAACCAGACTTTTTTTTAGGTGTAAGTGTAGCAAATCTGTAAGTCAAAAGAAACATGAACGTTCTTTACTACAGATGTAGCAGAAAGTCCTTTCTTGCAGATTTTTAAGAACAGGTTACACAAATACCTGTTGCACATGATAGTTGATTTATTTCATCTTATATTTGTACACTGGTTGGATGAGGTTTTCTTCTGAGGTACTGCCATCCCTAAATTTCCCGACTCTTTGAGCAGTGGATTAACCTAGCTAATGTTTAATTGTAAAGTAAATAAATAGCAGTTCCACAGCAAAGTCCTTTCTGAAATAAACTTTTGGGAAGCAGCAAAGTCAATATGTGTTACTGAATTCAAGTCATTTCTTTAGCTTACATTTTTAAATCATGGATTTTAATTTTTTCTGTGTTGTATTATTTAGCATTCCAAACAGCACCTTTTTTTGTCCATCACTTTGATTGCCATGTGCCCTGCAAACTTCTGTTTTCCATTTAATAGTGTACTATGCACTATAATAAGAAAACATTTTTTATTTTATAAATAAACAAACAATCAAAAAAAAGGAAGTGGTGAATATTGTAACACAGAGGCCATTTTTGTGGATGTTGGGAAGGATTCTGAAATTTTCTTCAGGAATCTCAGAGAGTAAGAGATAATTTTGAAATAGTTTTCATATTTATGGATTATATTGGAATTTCTAATTTGTGTTGCTACATTTAAGTAAGAAAATACTCGCATGTTAGCATATATGCGTGTAAAAATATTTGCATATTCATTTTAGTACTTGTTAAAATGAGTAAGATATTTCACTCTTAGAGGTGTAAAGCACTGTGAATCTATACCTGTTTTAAAGATCTTGATGTACTACTTGTTTCTTGGAAGAAAAATACACAGGCATCCTACTTTTAATAGCTGTGGTGCTATTTGGTTCAGGTATTGATATTTTCCTTCAGTGGTCATGTTTTCATTATAATTTTTACTCAGTAACAATTGCTATGAAGGGAAAAATGTAAGTTGGAAAGCTTTTGCACCCATATTCACTTATTAATTTACCTGCAAGTTTTACATTTCTTGCTATCTCTGAAACATTTCTTATTGGCATGTATGACAGACCTCTAAGTCCAGAATGGTCTCCATATGAAAAAGTTGCATTTTTTTGCTATCACTTGTTCAGATTCATGAGAACTTTCCTATGTGGCCCTAGGTTCAAGTTATTGCTTGTGGACTACATAGTATAAAATATGCTTGATTATTTTAATCACAGCTGGCGCCTCTACTTAAAAAAAAACATTTGTGTGACAAGGATGTAGTTCAGTTATATACATTCACCAGATCAGGTGCCAAGTTCCCCATCTAGCCTGAATGTGAATACCTCCAGGGATGGGACATCCGCAACTTCTCTGGGGAAACTTGTTCCAGTGCCTCACAAACTTCTGAAGATTTCTTTCTGACATCTAACATAAATGTCACCTCTTTTTGTTTTAACTCTTCTGCTGTCACTATTGGGCCACACAAAAAAAAAGTCAATCTCCATCTTATTTATAAACTCCCTTTAAGTACTGGAATGCATCAAATGAGGTCTCCCCAGAGCTTTCTCTTCTTCAGGCTGAACAAGCCAAGCATCCTCTGTCTGTCTTCATAGAAGAGATTTTTCTGCCCACTGATCATCTTCACGGCTGCAAATAGGACCTGCTCCAACAGTTCCACATCTTTCTTGTGCTGGGAGCCCCAGACCTGGATGCAGTATTCCAGATGGGGCCTTGTAAGAGTGGAGTGGAAGGGGACAATCCCCTCCCTCGCCCTGCTTGCCACCTCTCTTTTGATGCAGTTCAGGAAGCTGTTGGCTTTCTAGGCTGCACGCACACACTGCTGCCTCATGTCCAGCTTTTCATCCACCAGAATTCTCAAGTCCTTCTTTTCTGGATTGCTCTCAGCGAGTTCTCCCATCTTTACCTATATCTATCTAGTATTGCCTGACTGAGATGATACACTTTGCACTCAGCCTTGCTGAATCTCAATATGTTCATGCTCACTTTTTGAGCTTGCCCAGGTCACTTTGGATGGCATGCCTTCTGTCATATCAACTGCACCACTGTAACACCAGTCCAGTGTTGTCTGCAAATCTACTCAAGTTGCACTTGATTGATCATTGGTCATTGGTAAAGATATTAAAGACAACTGGTCCCAAATTGGACCCCTGGGAGACATAACTTGTGACTGGCCTCCATGTGGACATAGACCCATTGACCACAACCCTCTGGCTGTGACTGTTCAACCAATTCCCCAAGCACTGAATACTCAACCATTCAAATCCATCTCTCTCCAATTTAGAGATTAAGATGTAATATGGGACTATGTCAAAGGTCTTGCAGAAATCTAGATAGATGTCATCACTTGCTCTTCCTTTGTCCACTGATGCCGACACTCCTTTGTAGAAGGCCTTCTAGGTACAGAGATAAGTCTCACTGGTCTTACATTCTCCTTGTCTTTCTTTCTATCCTCCTTAAAAAATGGGAGAATTTGATACAGCACCTACACAGTGGAAGACTAAAGATATGAGATTCAAAAAATTTTCATAATTGGAGACTTTATTGCCAATCCTAATGACAATAAGAGCTGTCAAATCTTCTTACTGCTCATAGATCTGGAGATTTTGAGATGCATAAAATGAAAAATGTTTTTCATTTCATAATGTTTCCTGAATTCCCAAACTGTAATTGAATCAAAATTGTATGTTTTGTTCCATAGTCACCAAGGCTACAAGTACATTTTAATTTTGTTTTATGATGAGAGATGATATTCTCATAAAAAAGACATGGATTTTGAGAAAAGATGAATATAATAGGGTGTACCATAAGGCTGGAGGAGTTGGCTCCTTTCCAGAAAGTTGGTGCTGCTCTCAAAAGGTATAACTGGGGATGGAATATCATATGGTTGTGCAAGCATATAGCATGTTCTTTTACATCTTTTATTCCATCTGGCTACATAGAGATTGTGTTCATATCTAAAACATTTTTGATGGCCCTTCTACGAGGCAGTAGTGTTT